CACGGTGTACTCACGCTGATTGTGTGTTGTATTTTTGTGCATTTTGTGCAGCATTCCTACTATGAGAACAAACAAGTTCGGCCAGTATTCTGGCGCCAGTGGATCAGGCGTAAAATCTTCTCAGTCAATAAACCTCCTGTGAAGATCTACCACGTATACGTATGTTTTCTTCGTACATATGCGTACGTACAGGACGACAGACATACAGCTCTTCACAAAATTCGAAAACATCAGGAAAATGAAAATGAAAAATTTTACATCATAAGAATGGTATCGCGTAAAAATATGCTATAATTAAGTAATAATAATTTATTTACCTGTACCGTTTTATGTCACAGTGTTGAAACAATCGTCCAGTACAATAAAGTTAAGCTAAAATCTTCATTTTATCATTTCTATTACATTTCAGATTTCAATGAAGAATGTGCAGACTTTAACTTAATTAAAACTGTAAAACACCCTGCTCCCAGCATTTTGAATCAAAAAAATGTATTAACACTTTTTTCTATCAGATAGATTATACAGCATTACACGTCATAGTCGAATTTTAACCATAAAGATAAACGGTAATCCTTTGGACAGGGTTCTCGTTCGCCATTGTAAAAGGGGGAATTGAAGATAAACAGGCAGAATCAGGACAGTTTTTAATTTCAACGTTAGGATGTGACTTATTTATTTATTTGATAAAATTTAATGTTTATTACATAATAAAGCACTTAACTCCGGTTTAAATGAAGTGTCAAGAACAATAGGATAATAAACTTTGAATATGGATATTAAGTTTAGGCAGTTTAAGAAATGTATACTGCGGGAAAGTTAAAACAAAAAGGGAAACGTTTTAACACCGAAAAGGAATTTTATTATTTTAAGAGGGTTGAAGGAATTGCACTCTAAATTTACAATAGTATTTTTGGAGACCATTTAACACAACAACACCTCATTTATCGCTTTGGAGTCTCTTACAATAATTTTCCAGTGGCAAATTAAGAACTAATTAATAACAAATACATAAATAATTGACAAATAATCAAAATTATATGAAATAATATTGTTTTCGTCGTTAGTAGATACTATACTTCTGCATCCTTAATTAAATTCGTTTTTCTTAAAAGCTTTCCCGAATTTAAAGTGACTTCTTTTTAGTACATTTTCAAAAAAATCCCCTTTTTTTTTTTACTGGTTTTATTTTTTATTATAGTATATTACTACCTATCATTAAACATGAATGCAAACTTTCAACCTAACTGAACAATAATGGCGAATAGTTCCAAATTGATTTACAACTAGTTTTAGGACTTTCTTCGTGCTAGATACTGATGGGGTTTCCCAGTCTAAACCTTACCAGATTGTCGCGGTTTGATCAGATTAGTTACGATTTAGTTGTACCTTTAGTCAAGTCACCAGTGAAGATGCTGTCGAAATGCCTAATCAAACAATTGTGGACCAGTTCGACAGACAAATACAATCATCATCATCATAAGGTCGTTAGTCCTCCTACTCTAGCCTTTCCTATCCTGAGCTAATCTTCGCATTTCCCTAAAACTAGAACAGCACACATCCTTCACTATTTGCTAACAGTAATCTAATCTAGGTCTACATTTACTTATCTTAAGTCTTGTTTCTACCTCTAATATGTCTCTACACTAGCCTTTCATGTCGGAAAAGGTGTCCTACCAACCTATCTCGCCTATATCTTATTAACTTCCACAGATTCCTCTGTTCTTTTAATCTTTCTAATACCTTTTCATCTCTAATCTTCCCTATCTACGGTATCCTCATCATTCGCCGGTAATACCACATTTCGAACGCTTCTAACCTTTTTGTTACTATTATTTCCTCTATTATGTTTCGCACCCGTACAGCGCTGTGCTCCAAACATACACTTTAATAATCTTTTTAGAATTTCTAAGTTGACCGTTCACTAGCATTGAAGTAGGTATAGTACTTTCTTTTTATTGAAGGCGACTCGATCCTGCGCTATCCTCTGGTTTATATATCCCTACTGCTACTTTCATCCTGACTTATCTGACTTTTGTATGTGTAAGTATCATATACAAGTAATTTTAAGGTTTTCTATAAAGAGTTTTCAAGTTTCCCCTTGTTTTTTTAATAGTGTCGAAAGAAAATGAAACAAAATTTTGATGATGGTTAGTCCGAAAAGCCACATTTTCTCTTAAAATGTAGTAAATAGTTTCGGTTCATAACTTAAATCTTAGGCTTGTCTTTGTCTCTTTTCATATTTCACCATACACATGCCTGTGTATTAGTTGCGCAAAATTGAAAATATTTTATCGTTTCATCATAAAATTAATTACACTGATTATAATTACAATTTTGGTTCGTATGGGTGCTATTGTTCATAAATTATACATATATATTTTCGGCTTTGTACATATTTTCGGCTATTCTCATTCGGAAAAAGGTCTCTACGATTACAGCAGTTCTTGTATGATAGACGCAGTCGCTCCTGTTTATCTTTAATTCGATAATTTACCATCTCAATTGTTCTTTTACGTTTCGTGCAAAGATACAAAAGCGAGAAGAACTAAAAAAGCAACATAGATATTTCTAGCAACCGTGCAATTTATTATTGTACTATGCGGTAATATCAAGCTTGTAAAATATTCTATTACTATTTTTTTACCTGTAACAAGTGTTTCAAAATCCATGATGTTCACGTCGAGATAAAACACTCACTAACTAATGTGATTACCGCCCCTCCCTGAGAATTTAACAATAATGACAATAACAATTGCCGCACTAAGTTTCATTGTTTGTTGGTTTAGAGTGCCGTCTGTATATCTTTTTGTTTGCCAGTGCTGTTGTCACAGAAATTTTACGCGGAGCTACTCCACAGTAACGCTATTTGTTTCAAATTTGCAGATGAAGAAATTCGTAGTATATTTGAATCTGCTGTAGCATTTTATTCGACGTTTTTAATGAGGAAGAAAGTAATTATTATTCTATTATTAGTGTAAGTTGCTGCTTCCTGTATCTCACTGTCTGCTACTTCTTTAAATTGATTCTTATAATGCTTTGGTCCATCCTTTCAAACGGATATTTTTTATTGTGAGTTAAAAATTCTTACTGTATAAATTTTGGTGATAAACTGAAATTGAACTTTACTTTTTCTATTATTTCATAAAAAAATTCTTAAGTTTCTACTTAATAATAATAAAATCTGAGAGTTAGTTTTTCTTTTTACAATCAAAATAATATTTGCTATTAACTGAGGTCCAGTCACAACGTTATTATGCTTTTTTATTTAACATTTATCAATTTCCTAATTTATTCATATGTTATCCAATGTACATTACAAATGATTTTTATTTTAAATTCTATTCTGTAGATATTGATTATAAAATCCAGTTATTGAAAATTATATTATAAAATTACACAATTTTCA